CGTCTGTCCTTCCCTCTTGACCCCTTTCACTGCCATCCAGACCTACAGCGATCTAACACCTCTGGCATCATACTCCTCGTCGTTGACTCACTTTATCCTTTTCGCCATAACACTTCATTATAGTGCTGCATGGCCTCTGACGTGTGGCACATGCATTCGCTTTGACCATTTACTGTTGTGAGAATCCACAAACATCGCCTGATTATAAAGGAGAAGAAGAAAAAAAAATCTTTTCAGGGGCTTTTCCTCAAGTCTCACCCTTCGCTATATTTTGAGTATGCCGCTAATGACCTTCGATGTTGACGCGGCAGAAAAGTTTCATAAATCCAAGAAATTATGATAAAGAAAATAACATCATGATGATAATGATAATGGTTCGTGCTTCTTTACGGAATCGTATATGCATGGTTTCTTTTTCTTTTGAATAATAAATCATATGAAACCATTTGTTGCTGCCTTGTTTGATAAAAAAAAAAAAAAAAAGTAGTGACAAAATATATATAAACTTTCACTGCCAATTTTGGAACAATGTGCCTTAACAAACTCATGATTGTGAACATGATGTGACTAGATTATCAATTAGCAAAAAGTATGTTTTTTTGAGAACTGAGCAATATGCTGTCACCTTTAGTAACTATTACAACCCTAGAATCCAGATGATATTTCTTTCTCTTATCCGTCATTAGTCGTTAGTCGGGGCGTCGGATTCCTCCTAACTGGGGTTGGGCCAGCCTTCGGAGAACCATAGAAGTAAGGCAAGAAACGCATGTAATCATGTCAAACCCATTTACTGAAAGGCGCAGTGTGGCCAACCCGAGAAAGGCTCTGTTCTGCTCTCCTTTGAACTCATTTATTAGATTTATTCATTATTATATCTAGTAATTTTCACTGTGTCAGTCGATGATCTCCCTGTAACTGTTGAAGGTAGTGATGGGCAAATCGGTCATTTTTAGACTGACTTATCACTTTTCTTTTCTCCGCTTATCCCCCCCCCTTTTTTTTTTTTCGCCTTTGCATTTTGATTGATAAAAAAAATCAGATGATCATGCCTATCGGAAAATAGGATCAGGGTAATTGTACACCAGAGTAAGGTAACGTTTTATTTGCATATACAAATAAACTTTTTCTTCAAAATAACATATGTAAGTACTTGTAGTAAGGAATGTGATTTCAGAAAACAAATACTCTTCCATACAAAATTAATGTGTATATATCACAAAATAATCGCTTATTGAGTACATTTTCTTTATACATTTATAAATTCCTGTAAGGACTTTCACTCTAATATTGCTTCGCATAAGAGCGATGGTAGCGGGAGCGAGAGCCGGTGCTGAAGGCCCGAGAACTGGCTCCTTCCCAATCCGCGAGGGAGTCCTTCGCATCCTGTCCTCCCCCGCCAGCTGTGTCCACGGGCTTCCTCTCGCTGCAAAATCCCCTTGCGCTGTAGCCGCTTGCTCTCTTCCTGCAGGTGATCGTCAGGATTCCGTCCGAGGACAACACGCAGCTGATGGCGTCTCGCTCGACGAGCTCAGGCAAGGCGAAGCGACGCACGAAGCTCACTCGGGACACTCTGCCTCCGTCCTGCCTCTCTGCTTGACCCTCCACCAGCAGCTCCTTGCCCTTCACCAACTGCACTGTCACGTCGCCCTTCATGAAGTCAAACACGTCCATCACGATCTGAAAAGGTAGGAAAAAATGTTATTTAGATAACTAGCTATTCAGTCTTAATTGAAAGAAGGATTCCAAATGTGATATAAAACAGGCTTTAGTAAGAAGCAGTTTCACACCCACCTTGTGCGAGTCCTGATCGTCCAAGATGCCAACAGCCTGATTTTCCAACTTGAGGTCGCGTTGACGCAGACGTCTGTAGTTGTGCATGGCGTCGCTTCGACAGGTCCATTCACTGGCCTTTTCCAGCACTTCTCTCACCGCCTGGCTGAAGCTGTTACGGACATTTGCGAAGCAATAGTCTTCAGCAAACACCTCTCCTCTCTATGTGCAAAACCCTGGTTTCCATAGAAAGGCTTGGAATGTTATACTTGAAATCCTTGCTGCTGTCATTTGTCATCTTTGTCTCCTTGTTGAACATGTGTCCACCTTCAAACTCTTCGTCATCGTCTTGGAAAGTGACTCGGTATGGTTATTGGATTGTTTGGCAAAAGCTCTTAATTCCTCGTCATCAGAAGATGAATCTCTCTTCTTCAGATATTCCTCGGCGAGACGATGTCCATTTCTAAATTTCCTTGAAACCGTTGCCTCGACATCGTCCATGTCTTCTACATCAATCGAAAAATGTTTTCGATTATGGCCCTCCTGCGGAACAGCAAAGTTATGATGCATATTTACTTTGATGCGATTGTTTCTAGAATGTATTTTAGACAAACGCCTCTGCACGTATATTGAACAAGTGTTTGCAGTTCTAGTCATATCTATTCTCTTTACTCCCTCAAATAAACAGTGCTGGGCACAGAAACATTCCTATACATATTTATATAACAATATATTCGAGCGTATACACAGATGACCTACCTTCTTTGGAGCCAAAATTTTAAGCACACCGTCAGAAGACATGACTGAAATGACAGCCTCAAGCTCAATGTCTCCAGGAACAACGAAGCGCCGAAGGAACCGCTTGCTGGACTTGGAACCGTCTTCCTTCTTCTCCAAGTGACCTTCGACCACCAACTCTCGCTCGTTCACAGCCTTCACGCTGATCTCTCCAACGTCCATAAAGTCGTGAACATCAATGACAAACTGAAAAAGAAGAAAATACATGACAAAGGTTCATTCAGGCAATGAGTTACCATGATGTTTCAAATAATTTCTTGACAGAGAAACAGATTATATAATTAGTCTATGTCTGTACCTTATAATGGCGTTCATCTTCCGAGGACGTCACAGCCTGAGTGTCTTCCCTCATATTTCGTGCTCGTAGTTTCCTGTAGGAAGTCATCTCGTCACCGCAGGACTTCTCTCCCCATCTGCTCAGGATTTCCCTAACGGCCTTCTGGAAATCCTCCCTTGTGTCTCGGAAGAAGTAATGGGAGAAGAAGTGTCCTTTCCTCGTGATAGGAAAAGATTTCTCTGTGAAGCTAGATAGAGAACCACTCGCCAAACGAGAGGACGTTCCCATAATTGCGTCTTCGGTGACGTTATACTTATTAGTTTCTTGAGACTCCCTGCCACTTTCTTGTCCAAAGCGTCTCAGTCTATTGCTGTCCTCGAAACTGCAATCAAGATAAGGCGTCTTTTCCCGACGTGAAATCTCGAGGAAATGACGAGTTTCCTCGGACTGAGACGTCATATACTCGTTCAGTCCATTTTGGTTTTCATTCTTGGTCTCAAGCAGACGTTTTTCAGCAGGAAGTGAAGTGATTTCGAGTGAATGATTTCTTTTGATGCGTTTTGCTTCAGTTTTAATGGAGTTTTCAGCAGTATTTGCCTCGACATTTCCTTCCTGCAAAACAATAACTTTATACAATATTTGCGTAGTGTAATTTTTTTTTTTTTTTTTCATAGGTGATTACTCCTAGCAAAAGTATATCAATAATAGACTTGATTAGAACATACCTTAAACATCACAGTGACTGTGAGGATGCCATCTAATGACATGACAGAAGTGATTTTAGTAAACTGTGGAAGAGAGAAGCGGCGTCTGAAGGAGTGAGAGGTTTCGGATGAGGTTCCTTCTTCCTTCTTCACCACAAGTCCCTCGATGACCAACTCCTTCTCATCAACGACCTTCGCTTGTACATCTCCACTCATGAAATCATGAACGTCCATAATTATCTGGAAATAATAGGTAGCTTTTTATACCTACTTTTGAATGTTCTTTGGGAATCGTAGTAATTTATTTAGTAATAATATTGATATTACTCAAAATGACACAAAAAGTAACAATGACAATAATGTCGACTAACTTCATACAAGACTTGTCTGATGTGACGATAGCGGCCTGATTCTCTTCCCTCAGATCGCGAGACCGAAGCTGCCTGTAGCGTTCCAGGATATCGGTGTGGCGGAGGTCAGTGTCGTCCTCAAAGTTGACTTGATTGCACCTGCCCAACACCTGCCTGAGAGCGGCACTGAAGTCTCGGTGAGCGTCGAGGAAGAATGAGTCTTGGAAGAAGTTTCCTCTTTTGGTGATGAGCAAGAGTTCTTCTGGCGAATCTCTCTGAATCCTTCTTGTTCCTTTCAAGGATTCGATAGCTTCTGCAGACTCTTCTGCAATTGTCTTAGATGAAGTATTTGTATCTGTTGGGCTGGATTCTTTGGTTTCAGTCGTTTCTTCGAGGTTCAGCTGCCCGACACTATCGACGGCTTCCTCTTCATGGGTACAATCTCTGGATAACTGAAAGGAATTTGTGCAACTCTCAATGGCTGCCGACTGAGTCCTTTTGCTGTCGAGTGTTTCCTCAGGGATTGTTTGGTAATTAAAGTTCTCTTGAACTGCTGAGTCGTTCTCATACTTATTTTGCCAAGAAAATTGTGCAAGTTCCTCGTCAATAGTATTGGACCTTTCTTGCACAGACACGGCATCATCAGTAACATCGAAGATGGTTGAAGACTTTGAGTTCTGACCTGACACATTCTGAGCCTCAGCAACAGTTTCGTGTGAGTCTTCCCCATCAAGAATGTCAACAGATTCCTGGGAATCTTGGAGATCAAGAATTTCAACAGATGAGCCTTTCACTTCAAGAATATCAACAGATCCCTGTGAATCTTTTACATCAAGAATGTCAATATCTTCCTGCGACTCTGTAAGATCAAGAATTTCAATAGCTTCTGAGCCTTTCACTTCAACAATGTCAGAAGATTCCTGTGAGTTTTTCAGATCCTGAATATCAATAGCCTGCTGAGAGTCTTCAAGATGAAGGACTTCTGCAGTTTCGGAATCGTTTTCATCTTCGAGGATAACAAACAGAAGAGAATCCTGGGAGGAAGTTCCAAAGTCACGAGAGGCAGACAAATTGCCAGACGTTTCAGTCATGGCGATCGAACTTCGGCGACACAAGGAAGCATCTGAAATGTCTGCAAACTCGGAGCAAGACTGCATTTCATCAGACACAAAAGTTGAAGAATCAGCCAGCCCTTTTGCAGGTACAATAGATTCTTTGTTGTCAATAGTTTCTTTGCTTTGATTTTCACTTTCTACAAAGTCGAAATCAGTGTCATGACTCGATGTTGCTGCAGAATCAGTCAACAGGACTTCTCGTGCTGTCTCAGATTCCAGTGACTCATTTCTTCAGATGAGATTTGAATCTTTACATCTTCAATGCTCGTATCTTCTGCCACAGAGTCCATGCAGTCATGTGTGGCTTTGCTTTCTTTTTCACATTCCTCATGGAGGGAGATGGTTTCATCAGCTGGGAATAGCGAGCGTTGAACTTGAGAGGATTTTTGAACTTCCTCAACAGACCTGATCACTTTGTGTTCCTCCGGTTCTTCTGCCTGTTAAACAATTTAAATATTAGCTTAAAAATTATACTTGATCTTATAAACAGAAACACGAGTGTGTGTGAGTGCGTACGTGAGTATGTGTGTCAGGGAAAGAGGGTGCTTGTGAGTGTCTGCGATGTGCACGTTTTATTTGTAACATCTTTTTGTATTCTTAGTAACTGACATTTTCATCTTTGTAACATATAGCATAAGTAATTGTCATCTCCAGATAATCCTTACATACCATTTTTGAAGCGCTGATTGTAAGAATGCCATCTGAAGACATGATGCACGTGATGGCTGTCATGTCAATATGCTCTGGCAAGGAGAAGCGGCGTCGGAAGGAGTAGGAGGACACGGATGAGCTTCCTTCTTCTCTCCTCTCCACACGACCCTCCCCACCACCTCCGTCTCGCCCGCCACCTTCACCTTCAGATCCCCGTTCATGAAGTCTTGGACGTCCAACACGATCTGTGAAAATTTATGTATATTAAACAATAGCCATAATGCTTACATCTGGGTATCATATTCGAATTAATAAATGTTCACATGAAGAACCCACATGTAAACAGTTGCAGGTAGATTGAAAAAAATATTGGGGTTTAATTGATCTTCAAAAGGCGTTTAAACAAATTGTATTAGTAAGAGTGATTCTTGAATTATTTACCTTGTAACTAGTGTTGTCGGACGTGACGATAAAGACTTGGGTCTCTTCCTTCAATTCGTGGGATCGAAGCTGTCTGTAGCGGTCCAGGATATCGCTGTGACTAAGGCCAAGGAAGTCCTCACTGTGTGTCACTTCGCTGTCTTCGCTGACCCACTTCCTCAGGACCTCTCTGATGGCAGCGTCGAATTCTTGGCGGACATCGAGGAAGAAGGAGTCCTGGACGAAGCTTCCCCTTCGAACGATGGGCAAGATTTCCTCGCCCAGTTTGATGGCTTCAGTCGAATCAGATTCTGATTGCACAGTTGCTTGTTCCTGTTGTTCAGAAACTAAATCATCATAAGAGGCCTTTTCAACGACTGTCGATTCAAGAGTTTCAGCCAATCGCATGAGTTCATGATCCTGAATATTGGCAACGTCTCCACGAACAGAAGCAGTTGTAGACTCATCCACAGACGGATTTTGGCAGATCTTGGACTTCAAAACTTCCTTGGATTCAGCAGGAAATTCGAATTCTTTCTTCAGCTTTCTCGTCTTGTTCTCGTAAGAGTGTTTTCGTTCACACCCAAACTCCATCTGATCCACACTAACAAGTTTCTCGTGAACAGAGATATTTTTCTCCGTCGTGGACGAAACTGCTTCGGGTGTTGAGTCTTGAGCTGTTGATGATCCTTCCTTTTCCTCGGTCGCGGAGAAGTTAACGAGTGAGTTTTCCTGTTCTCCTGCCTGAATGAAACAAAAACAGGGTCATGTAGATACTTAATATGTTACATTGCAGTGTGATTAACATGTCAGGTCTATATTTTTTAAGCATGATTATGTAATGTAAACATAGGTTTATTAAGTTATCTTAACATGAAAAGTAAGTTATTTACCGTTTTGAGAGCAGTTATTGTGAGGATGCCATCCGAAGACATGACAGAAGTGATGCGTGTCATGTCAGTGCTGTGAGGCAGGGCAAAGCGGCGTCTGAAGGACCGTGTCGAGACGGACGACCCTCCTTCCTCCTCCTCGCGCGCCCTTCCACCACCAGCTCCTCGTCGACGACTTTCACCTTGACGTCTCCGCGCATGAAGTCATGCACGTCCAGCACGATCTATGAGATTGAAATTGAATTGAATTTGCTTTATTTTTTTTTTAAGTTAATGAAAATATGGTCAAAATATAGTGCTAGGACTGATGATTATCAATAATGACAATGTTGAAAGTGACACTAACAATGAAACAAAATGGCATTGATAATGATATGAATATTGATAATTGCAATAATGATAGTAATGATAATGAAAGCAATAATGGTGATAATGAGAAAAAAAGAAAGAACAAGCAGAATGAATCGGATAATGATGAAGCCCATAATAGTATGTGAAGATATTCTGCGACCCTCAGTGAAGTTGTGCATATCAAGTATAGATAATCGTGTACCAAGAGAAAAACATCAAATACTTTGTAATCAATGAAAATATCTTGAATACTTTAGGCAATGCCGAGTGCTGATACACAGAGAGGGGACTGACCTTGAGGCTGGCACTGTCTGACGAGACGCAGAAGGCCTGGTTCTCTTCCCTCATGTTTCGAGATCGAAGCTGCCTGTAGCGGCTCAGGATGTCACTGTGACTGACATCGCCTGTCAGCGTGAGGTCGGAGTCGTCGCATTTCTTCAAGATTTCCCTGACGGAGGCGTCGAAGTCTCGGCGAATGTCGGAGAAGAACGAGTCTTGCAAGAAGCTTCCTCTCCTCGCGATGGCCAAGGAATCGTCTTGCGAACTGCCAAGAGTTTCCTTTGCTTCCAGCGAGTCGGAAATTCTTGTGGAAGCGAAATCTGAGATCACAGACGACTGCTTCTGTGATGATATTTGGGAGTTGCTTGAGATACTGGAAGCTGCAGTTTGGGTCTTGTTCTCGTCGATCTTCTCCTGATGGCATCGTGTGGATTTGCGTTCCTCCTGTTGGGCTGTGTGGGACGTTCTCTGGCCAGACGCCGCTTCCTCAGAAACTCCCGAGGTCGTCGAGGAAGTTGAGCTGTGAACTTCTGCATTGTGCGTTTCCTTGACGCTAATGGGGATGACAGTCGTCTTCTGTTGTGTTTCAGTCTCCTGTTGGTTTAGGATGGCGTATTTACCATGCGAATGCCTTTCTACATTTTATGAAGTCAGTTTTATAACATCAGAAAAGCGTTGATATAGTTTTAAGAGGAGCTAGGACAATACCTTCTTGGTCACAGTGATTGTGAGGATGCCATCTGACGACATGACAGGCGTGATGGATGTCATGTCAGTGGACTCAGGCAAGGAAAAGCTGCGTCTGAAGGTGCGCGAGGACCCGGCCGAAAGGGCCTCCACCAGCAGCTCCTCGCCCATCAGCTTCACCTTCACATCTCCATCCACAAAGTCATGCATGTCCAACACGATCTGTGACATGATTCACGGTATCAGTAAACAAAACAAGTTTCCCATTCGTCCATAAAACGTAAGAATTATTGGTTATATTTTTGAACGTGTGGTCTTCATGCTACTTACCTTTTAACTAATATTATCCGAAGTGACTGTAACGGCCTGGTTGTCACTCCACAGGTTCCGCGATCGCAGCTGTCTGTAGCGGCCCAGTCTGTCGCTGCGGTGGAAGTCGTCCTCGTCCCAGAAGTCCGCCAGCTGGAGGTCGGCGTCATTCCAGCCGTTGAGGACCTTCCTGATGGAGGCGTCGAAATTGCGGTGTATACCGGAGAAGAATGAGTCCTGGAAGAAGTCTCCCCTTCGAGTGATGGGCAAGAGAGTGTCCCTCGAACCGCGGTGAAGTCTAGAGGAATCAGCTGTTCCTTTGGTCCCAAAATGGCAAGAACAAGTTTCTTTTCGTGCAGAAGACGAGTGTTCTGAGTCTGTGCTAAGACTTGACTGTGTAGTTTCCGATTCGTCGTTTGATGCCATTTGTGTTCGAGTTTGGCTGACTTTCTCACAGTTATTCAAAGTGGAAGTCTGAGTGATGATATTTTCCTTTGTAGTTTCCGTTTTCTGTGAAAATTTAACGTAATATTAGTATCAATATAGTATCGGGTTCTTTTTACTTATAAAACATTATTTTTAAATAGGCTACAAATTGATTAGGAGATCAAAGACTCACCATTTTTGGCGCAGTGATTGTGAGGATTCCATCTGTGGACATAACGGACGTGATCGCCGCCAT